CGGACGCTTAACCGACTGCGCCACCCAGGCGCCCCTAATTGAAGCTTCAGACATGGTTGGATCCAGGGACTTGAAAATAATTAATGGCAAATAAAGATCAGTTACCAGCGAGGTAATGAAAATTGCTAGCTGTCTCCTTGATAATGATTTCAGCTTGCAATGCGCGGCCAGATCCAATTCATCCTGGACTCCTGCACCAGCGAGAACTGCAGGGGCACCACAGATGGCTTAACCCCCTCTGGGGTGAGCAAGGGGGCTCCCACCAGGCCTTCGGGGCTTGTTCAATTACTAAACATTGACTGATTTATTAAACACGAACTAAATATGCCCTGTATCAGGCCCAGAGCTAGAGATAAAGGAATGAACAACACAGACACAAATCCCTGCCTTCATGGACTTCATATTCTAGCAGGGGGAAACACAATAGACAAGTCAATTCTTTAAAAATTTTAAAAGGGGGCGCCTGGGTGGCTCCAGGTCGGTTAAGCCGTCCCACTTCGGCTCAGGTTGTGCTCTCACCGTTCTGAGTTCCAGCCCCCGGCATCGGAGCCTGAAGCCTGCTTCGGATTCTGTGTCTCCCTCTCTCTCTCTGCCCCTCCCCTCCCCTGCTTGATAGCGCGCTCTCTCTCTCTCTCTCTCTCAAAAATAAACGTTAAAAAAAATGCTTTGAAAAAATCAAAAAGAAGAAAAAAATACAAGGAGAGATCACTGTTACCTACCAGAAGAGCTAGGAATCATTTACATACAATAAGACTCATTCACAAACAAATAAACACAAAGAGATACCACTACATACCTACAAGCATGGCTAAAATTAAAAAACAAAAAATAAAAACAACTTAAGATGCTGGCAAGGATCCCGATTAAAGGAAATTCTCCTACGTTGCTGGTACACCCACCTCGGAAAATAGTTTGGCATTTTCTTATAAAGTTAAACATAAATTTAAAAAAAAGACTACAGTAGCAAAGACATAGCTACAGAGAGACAGAGACATGAATGTATGCGTACTTATATAGATATAGACGTGGATGTGGACAGAGATACGATTTTGACATTTGGATCTCTAGGCTGAAGTACACGCGAGACTACTTTCCAATATCTTGCCAGCTCGTTTTCTGACACAGCATTAATTTCTCTGAAACATTAGTCTGATTTTAGCAAATGAGGAGCCTTGCTGACTTCACCCCACCCATTTTCTTTAAACATTTAAACATTTACACATCTCCATTCCCCCCCTGCCCCCCGCCAATGTCTTCTGGGTGGCAAACTCATGAAGTTCTAAGTTGGAAGAGAATTATCCTTTGTTTTTTATAGCTTTGCCTTATTCTGAAATAAATAGTCAGGGCAAATCAATTGAAAATTGGTCAGAAAGTAGGCAGAGAGAGGAAATATATAATCCCCTTCTTAGAGCCAAAGCTATTGGGGCTGCCTGACATCATAGTAAGCCCACAGCAAGGGGAAAAGAATACAGAACCCTCTTTAATTATCAACTAAAATAGCACTGCTTTTTAACATTGTCCTCCGACAGTTGCTGGGGAATCAAATTATTCATGGTGTGAGTTCCAACACAGCTTATGGACACCCCGACCTCCAGAGGAGTGGTGTTTTACAGGAAGGAATGCCACATTCTCCTCCTAAGGGTGCCCACCCATGTCCTGGCCTCAGGCTGTAACCAGAGAAAGGAATGTAAACAGGTCAGAACGCTTAAGAGAGCCCATTAAAATCCCACCCCCACCCCCCCCCCCCCACCCCTGTCTGGCTAGAATTGAAAAGTCACCTGACACCCCCCCCATCTGCCGCTGAGTCATCAAGCCCCTTCTTCCAGCAGGCTAATTATTCAGCACGGGGGAATTAAAAAGAACACTGGGAATTCTTGGGGTTTGGTATTTGTCTCCACCCCCCACCCCCTTCCAAAATCCACTTTGTTCTTCAGAGACGCAGCTAATCCGCTCTTAACGCCCGCAGTTATCTTCGGAGGCTGCAGCTCATTTTATTTATTCTATTGCGTTTTGTTTTCTCGGATACCGTTATTTTTTAATCTACCGAAAACACCTGGCGGGGGGGGGGGATGCATTTCTGACATGTCCCCTTTCAACGCTGGAACCTTGCAGAATTCCGCAAAACGATTTATATTGCACATCTAGCTCTTTGAATTGCTAACCAAGAAGTTTCCACTCCATTCAAAGCCAAGGGGCTCTTGCTTTAAAAGAAATCAGGCTAAATCCTGAGGACAAACCCCTGTAAGGAGAATTAGTCAATGTGTCATGATTTATGAAGCACAATGGCAGCTGGAAAACAGTTGACAGTTATCTTGGACAAGCCCCTTCCTCTCCCTATAATGCACGTAGGCTGACGGTTCCAGATTCTTCGCTCTCCTGAGCGAGAGGCCCCGGTCTTCCCGTCTGGCCCCTGCCCACTTCCCCGGATGGGCACGCCAAGACCCGAGTCACGCGTGGGCCTGCGACACCCCCCCCCCCCCCCCCCCCCCCCCCCGCCTCCGCCGCACCCCCGCCTGGCGCAGGCAGCAGCCGCAGCGGCCCAAGACCCCACTTTCGCTTTCCGGGGCGCCGACGGGCCGCACGCCTGCAGGCCGGGGCTCCGCCTGCAGAGTGGGCGCCGCGCGTCCCTTACCTGCAGTGCCGCATGGCGCGTCCGGCCGCCCACCTGCACAGCATCCTAGAGCATCCTTTCTTCAGCGCGACGGCTGCGAGCGCGGTGACGTCACCGGAGGCGGGTCCCACGCCGCCACGTGACGCCCTCGGGGCGAGGCGGGGAGAGGGTGGGGGGCGAGGAAGACCTGGAAGTCCCGGGAGGTGAGGAGCGGGGGACCGGGAAGCCCCGCTCCGGGGCCTCCCCTCTGGGCAGTTTGCTGGACGTGCGCAGCTTGCCTGGCCTTTCACCGGCTACGGGAAACAAACAGCACACAGGAGGAGAAACCCGAATGATTACAGGCTCCAAGCGTGTAATAGGATTTCAGAAGAGTTAGCAGTACAGGGATTAGTAACGACAGGGAACAACTTAGTGTTTGAGTTTTAAGAGTCTTTATCAAATGCAACGGAGAAACCGATTTTGTGTAAATCAAAAGGGCAGTTGAAATACGAAGCGCACGGAAATACTTTGCACTGAGGTTCGCTGTTTGAAGGCATACCTCAAATACTTCAATTTGAAGCATATTCATCCTGGAATATTACGTTAATTGCAGTGGTGAGTAAGGCTTTTGTCTACTGTCACTAGCATAACATTCTAATCCATATTAACGTGGATTTGCCAAATAAAAAAAATAAGGATACCGTATATTCATGCCACCTACCCGTGTTTTCTTAACTTTTCTGGCAAGGAATTTGATCTCTCAGACATGAAGGAGTGAATTCACAAGAACTCACTATTTCACGCTTTTTAATTTTTATCACATTCTGCAGAAAGTGAGTCATCTTACTATTACAGAAAATATGCACGATGTCAACAGTTCTCATTCACAACTCAAAACAGCCTTGCCTAGAAAGCCTTAGAAAAGTCCCAACAGTGATCATGTAAATTTGAAAGGGCATATTTCAAACTTGAGCAGTGAACATACCAAGTTTTCTTCTGCCAAACCATATAAACGGTTTTGAAATGTGAAAGGACAAAAGCAGGAACCGGTTTTACTTGTATCCCAGCTTCATATAGACTAGTTTATTTTCAATAGAGTTTAAATCCCAATTTTAACATTCCCTTGCCCAGCCCCCCCCCCAAAGAGATGTGAAACGTTGTTTTACAAGCAGATGAGAGTTACCTACTTGCTATTTATTCCGCAGGTTTCACGTCCTTCTATATTTAACCTGGGCCCTTTTACGGCCATTCCCTCCACAGTAACCAAATATCTGTTCAGAAGGTCAGTCTGTAATTTGGGAACAACCAGGGGCCCTTGCCCCTCACAACGATCTATTATTTTCAGCACCGGATTTTAAAACTCAACAAATGTGGCCGTGTGGTTTTCTAGGTCACTCCTCGCAAGCTTGTTTTTCTAGGTGATCAGTAACTCTTACCTTGGGCTTTCTGGTTCCTGAGATAGAAAGTTAAAAGGCTACCGAAATCCCCCGTTCCCGTGGGTGGAGGGTCTAACGGAGACAGAGTCTGACAGGCTCACTTTCCTGCCAGAGGCAAATGTCGATTTCAGCCCCGGGCGCCCAGGGCGGCCCCACCCCCACCCCCCACGGAGCCAGGCTCGGAGGTCACGTGCTGGGCCCAGCCACTCAGCCCGGCCCAGCCAGCTGGGTCACCTCTCCGGTCTGGAGGCCCGCCATGCCAAGCTCTGTCGCCTCCTACCCTCGTTGTGTGTGCCCCGCCGGCGAGAACCTCGCGTCCGGGACACAGGACGCTCTGCCCTGAGAAGCCGGCCTGCACAGGCTGCTGTGACAGAGTTCCAGGAATCGAGGGGACGTGGGGAGGGTCTATAAAATGCCCTCGTGCGGTCTGAAATGACATGCTCTGTGTTCCGGCTTGGCAGAAACGATTACAGCAAAGGCACCTTCCTCATTGTGGGGCGATTTTTTTTTTTGCCAATAGGTCAGTTTCACCTTCTCTTTCGGAGGGGATTGCTCAAGTGTAAGACACATTACAGCCAAGGGGCGGGTCAGAAAAGGCCTAAAATGGCCGTGTCAGTTTCCAACAGAATGAGATGACTTCTGTCAAAGGTTCAAAATAGCCGAAATAAAACCAGCGAACCCCTGGAGCACTCAAACCAGAACATGCTTCACAGTGGTGAGTTATAATGGTATAATTTTCAGTGGTTACCGGTCATAGCAACTTTGGGAAGCGGTGCACGTTTTGCTTATCCTTTCCAGAGACACAAGCAAGAAATGACCAGGTCCACTTAGCTTTGCCTGCCTGACTGGACCGGCTCTGTCTGCTCGGGGACCCTTCAAGGTTGGTCTTCATTTGTTTCTGATTTTAACAATTCCCCCGCTTTTGGTCATCCGTGAAGCAGGCTGAGAGTATGACCGGCCATAGGATCATGGTCTTGGTAGCCAGTCCAGAGGATCACACATTTCTGTTTCCATTGAGTCATCAGGCCAGAGGGCCCTGTAGTCACCATCTTCGTCATTCAGTCACGTGGTTATTGCTGATTTCCTCCAGTTGCCTGATCTTGTTGGATACCCTGTGGCACGGGACTGACTGCCCACAGGCACTTAAAAGCTTCAAGTGCATACAATATGATTGTAGGGAGAACAATAGCCAAGGATTGAAAAATTCCCCAGAGCCGAGATACCCAGGAGCCAAGGTTTCACCAACCAAATAAATCAACCGGGTTATAATCAGATTCAGGTTTTACCTTACTAAGTCAATTTACAAAAAAAGTTTACTTACACAAGCATAACATGATGTATTAGCAAACACATATCCTCGTGATTTCCTAGGACAGGATGAACTTGATGTTGTATTTCAGGAGGCGGTGCCGCACCTGGGCTTCCACCTGAATTAGGCGGCTATGTGATGTGGGCAATCAGATGATTTAATGAGAGGCATTTCTATGTTAACAAAAGAAAAACAAAGACCCACAGTTGAAGCAAATTAGAAGTTCCGCTTTCTAAATTGGGAGAGCAGTCGGCTGAGAACATTTCGAACTGTCGGATTCTAAGTATCTTCAGACAGAGTGCAAGCAGTGACAGGCAATCAGACAGACTTTCCTGTTTGTGGTGTGAATGTCCCTGGGGGTGGTTCTGAGTGGCCACGTGGCCACGGGCACAAAGATGGTCCACACCATCTGAAGCCCGTATCAAGTTGTCCAGCTTCAGCCTGCCTGGCTTCGGAGAAGGGGCAGGTTTAAGTTCACAGTGATTCCAAGTCAAAATAGTGGGAGAAAATTGGAAATGCTGGTCTAGAGAGTGGCAGCCAAATACTGGAGGAAGCTGGAACTCAGGATCCAGTCCAGTCCAGCTGGAACTCAGGATCTACTCAGGTAGAAAATAAGCCTCAAAGACGATCACCAGCACTCGAATCTAATATCCACCAGGGTGTGTTACCGAAACATAATTTTCTCTCCGTAATCATTTCCATTTCCATCCAAGACCAAGGAGGCAAGACCAATTTGTTTTGCAAATTAAGTGGAGTTTTAATAAACTCGGCCTGATTATTTACGTAAGTGCAGCAAGAATAGTGATTGATCATGTTCTTCCGGATCCTTTTAAATCTGCAAAACCAAACATGAAAGAACCAGCAATATTTTAAATGAAGTCATAAAAATTATAGTCATCTTCATGGATCCATTGGGTCTCTTGTAATTAATTCTTGTTGAGCTCGATCTTTTGTCGGTTTTATGAACTCATCACTTTTCCATGGAAGTTTTAGAAATTCTTACCCACTTCAGTATTATGATCTTAAAGTCATCAGAAACCTCTATTCTACAGAGTACTTATCAAGGTCTTTTTTCATGAATCTCCTCAAAGATAAAGCATCTTTGCAGGAACATTGTTGCAAAAGCATCAGGATGAAACAAAAGACTTAAAAATCGGCAGTAAACATCAGGTGAGAATTTATTATAATGCAATGGACAAGAAAATGTGGTCATTTCTGATATACAATATTTTAAGACAATCGCTGGAATTATCACTGATAACACTATGTCAGTACACCAGATTCCCAAGAACTTCATATAATTTCTAGAACATTTATATCAATAACATCCATGTAAATATTTCCTAAAAAAGTTTAGCATCACTTGTTACTTGATAATGCTTCCCATGAAATGTAACATAACATTAAAGTGTTAGTTGAAAAAATAACTTAGCTTTTTAAATAAAGAAGACCCCGTTTGCATACGTAACCTGATGAAGTCAAAACATCAAACCTTTGTTTTCTAGGCGGATTACATTAAAGGTAAAGAAAAACCTTTGTTTGCAATTTCTTACCAAGAGCAGACCCATAATCGAAGAAAACTTTGTCCTTCTAACAGAGAGGAAACCAAATTCTAATTTTGCACCATTATACTTTGGATGTTAAAATTCTTCCTTTGGGGCACCAGGGATCCCATGGTTCATGAGTTCAAGCCCCACATGGGGCTCACTGCTGTGAGTGGGGAGCCTGCTTTGTATCCTCTGCCCCATCCCCTCTGCCCCTCCCCTGCTCGTGTGCGCGCGCGCGCACGCGCGCGCGCTCTCTCTCTTTCTCTCTCTCCAAAATAAACATTTAAAAAATAAAAAATAAAATTAGTCCTTTTTTTTTTCTTTTTAACTTAAATAAATCCATTTTAATCTTGGTCTGCTTGGCCACACATAAGATTCCTTTCTCAAGATCCCTTTTCCACAAGCCTTCAACTTTGTATATCTATTTGCATTTAGTCCTATCTTTTCTCTTTCTTATTCTGGAACAGTGATTTTACTTTAGGATAAAATTACTTTCTTTTTCTTCCTTACGAAAAATGCATCTCCATCCCTCATATCATCTTTTAGCCAAAACACACATCCTGCTTTTCATATCCAGCCATTTTCTTTCACCCTTCTTATTTCTAGTAGTTTCGTAAAACAAAAAACAAGCAAACAAAAGCCTCTTTTTTCTGACAACTTCACCTTTATTCGTTCAAATGTTGTTTTCTCAATTTCAAAAAATTACAAAGCTTATCTAGAAACGAATCGGCACAAAGCTGTCGCCACAGAATAATTACAGATTCGCTCGTAGACAATAGCATATAATACAGCGGAAATACACCATACGCTTTTTGAAATTTACAGTATGACATTCACTCGCATCTCCAGGCTCAGCCTGACATTGCCCTGGGAGACCGGGGATGATACAACAGGCAGGGCCACCAGGGTCCCCACATCGTTGCTGAAGACGGTCGCCCTAAGCTGACCAGGCAGAATAAAAATTCAAAAGACCGGACGGCAAGGTCGAAACTGGCTGTAAAGAGCTGGGAAGCCGCCACCAGATTTCCCAGCCTTGCAAATAGTTAAAAGAAATGGAGCAAATGCTTTTAAATAATTTTTTTCTTCTTTCTTTTCCCTTTTGTTCTTCTTTCTCCTTTTCTTTTTTTTCTTTTTCTCAAGGGTGGTTGTTCTCCTAAGGGCCTTTCCAGCTGGCCACACAGACCCTTCCGATGCTCAAAATTTGCTGTGGAAAAAAAAAAAACAAAAACCCAGTGGCTTTCCAACACGTTGGAGAATTCCACAGCAAGAAACAGAGTGAATAGTATGGCCCTGCACATACTCACACATATAAAACCATAGAAGTGACTGAAAGAAAAGTTTAATAAACTGACACACGTTTCCCATTTTTAGTATATGCCACGCACGCACTCTATAAAGGATGGATAAAACTGAAGATCCATATTTTCCATTTATCTAGATATAAGTAGATCATACGCATATTTTCTGTGCACAGGAAGGCTAACGTTCAGTCACCGAGGGTCTGTGAGCGCAGTTTGGGAAACTGGAAGTTTCGGTAAATCCGGGCGCAGTAGGAAGAAGCTGACCGGCCTCTCACCTCCCCAGGGGGCCGCCTGCTGCACCTGCGTTGTTTGCCTGGAGCCCGTGCAGGCTTTGTACCGAGTTACCTGCCGCTTCTTCTTCTGGTTCGTTCGCAGCCCTTCCTCCCATTTTTTAAACTATTTGTAATCTTTGCTTTCCAGGGCAAACCAGGAAGCAGGCGACTGCGCGCTATCATATGTTAGCATCCTGTGGTAGATTAACAAACTGATAAATACATTGCAAGATTATTGGAAGGGTCTTCTAATAATTTTTTTCCATGTGGCGTCAAACATGTTTATCGATAGACCCAAATATTTGCTCCTCTCTGTAAAAATTAAAAAGTAGATAAACTTCTGCTTAGCATTTAATGTTCATCTGATTTGGAAATGAGTTAGATATTCACTGAAGAGCCATTATTTGGTTTAACTTAGCATAAACTTTGACCGTATTTACACATACTTAAATTACTTCTTTTTAACGATGATGCTCGGATTAGACATCAAATGGTTAGCCATTATCTTATTTATTGTTTTGCTGTTGACAAATTTCGAAGACATGCTTGCTTTTATTAAACCAGCAAATTTAAATGAATTTTTATTTATCAAAGATTATCCCAGATCATGTGAACTTGAAACAAACATTTGGCTTA